TGTCACAAATGTCAATGTGAATCAGTTCTAAGGGATATAAATTCCTTTCAACAGATTTATAAGGATGCTTAACATACTTAGATTCAATGCAAACTCGACATTTTGATTTATTGCACTCAAATTTAGGCAAAACATTTAAGTTAATCATTTTTCACAAGGTTTTGTTATTAACGTGTCCCAAACGTTCATGCCATAAATATTTAGACTCAAGCAAGTAAGAAGAAGCAACATTTTTATTCATATCAACTGCAATTACATTGAGTTTGAAGAGGCCCTCAGTGAGGTAACATTTTCCTACATACATCTCATTCTTACTTACTACAGCTTTATCAGAAACAAATACACATTTGAATTCGTTCTTAGTCAGAATTGGTATAGAAACTAAATTCTTTCGCAATTCCGGAACATACGAGACCCTGTTCAAAGTCACTACCTTGCCCGATTTCATCTTTAAGAGGACCTTACTTGTTCCTTCCACCTTTGCAACAACGGAGTTTGCCATAAACAACTTCTCGTCTGTTGGTGCTGGAGTATATGATGCAAATAATTCTTTGTTGGCACAAACATGGCATGAGGCACCAGAATCTATCAGCCATTCTCTTGGATTTCCAACCAAGTTGCATTCTGAAAGCATTGCACAGAGATCGTCCACCTCTTTTTTGGATTCAGCCGAATTTGCTTGATCCTTCTTTTTGTCCTTCTTGGGACCCCGACATTCAGTAGCCCTATGACCATATTTGCCACAATTGAAGCAGTTTTCATTGAATTTCTTCTTAGGAAGATTGCCTTTTGGACTAGATGTTTTCTTTCTTTTCTTTGATTTTGTGGGATCTTCTTCAACAATATTTACTCCAGATATTGTTTAATTACCACGTGACCTCTTTTTTTCCGTCTTGTTATCCTCTTCGATTCTCAGCCTTACCATGAGATCTTCAACAGTCATCTCCTTACGTTTATGTTTCAAGTAGTTTTTGAAGTCCTTCCATAACGGTGGTAACTTCTCAATAATGGCCGCCACTTGAAAAGCATCATTCACAATCAATCCTACATTAAAGATTATGTGAGTATTAAAACTAGACTTAATATATTCAACATAGGCACTAAATAAATTTATACCTTCAGCAAGGAGATCATGAACTATGACCTGCAGTTCTTGAACTTGGGTGACAACGGTCTTACTGTCTATCATCTTATAGTCCAAAAACTTTGCCATAATGAACTTTTTCATTTCGGCATCCTCTGTTTTGTACTTATTTTCTAAAGTATCCCAGATTTCTTTTGAGGTCTTACCACTATTGTACACATTGTACAGATCATCTTGCAGGCTACTCAAAATATAATTTTTACACAAAAAATATGAATGTATCCATGCTTCTGTTACCAAGAATCGTTCTTCGGCCGGAGTTTCATCCGACATAACAAGAACATTCTCATTAATGAACCTCCGCAGACTCAACGTAGTCAGATAGAAGAACATCTTCTGATGTCATCTCTTGAAGTCGACTCCAGAAAACTTTGCAGGTTTCTCAGCTGATGCAAGGGCAGCAGTTGAACGATTGTGTGCAACCGATGTTGTTGCAGCACTCACTGTTCCAATATTTACTTGACTTGAATTTGTCATTTTTCTATCACAAATGGCAGACAATTTTAGTATGTAAAATACTAACAGTAAAGAATAAATCCTTGCACAGTCTGTTTCTGATTTAATGATAAAGTTTTTATGTTCTTTTAATCGTGAATCAAATGAATTTTAAAAATTCAAACAGAGTAGAAAACCATAAAGGTTTTAATCTCCAGAAACCTCAAATACAGAAACTTTTAAATTTCTTAAGCTTGTTATCTCCTGTATTAAGGTTAGCAAAACAGAAACAGAAAAATAGATGAAACAGACAGAAATAATAATCCGAGTCCACAGAACCCATTGTGTTTCCTTAAGAAATTCAATCCCCTCAAATACCCAAGGTTGCAGATTAATTTTTCCCAAGATAAATTGGATTAACCTATTAGAGAAGTAGCGGTACCTCAAATTTCAATAATTTCAGCGAACGCAAGAACAGTAACGAGAGCACACACAGACTCAGTCGATCGACAATTTGTTTATGTAAGAAAATATATGCAGAGAGGAAAAAATTTTAGTGAGTGAAAAACGAAAAAGACCTCTTATTTATAGTCATTTGAAGCAAGGAACGCGTCTGTTCGAACAATGGTGTCTTTTCAGAACGTTGTCTCTTTGGGAAAAATAACGCCTTTTCGGAAGGAACAGGTCCCTTCAGAACGTTTTTACCGTTATACACGAATTTCAAATAAATTCCGTTACGCAAAATTAATTATGTTAATTAACTAACATTCTAAATTAATTTATGAGAGAAAGGAAATCAATTAATGAGATTGATTAAATAAATTTTGTCCAAAAATATTATCAATCAATCATTTGTCAAATCCAAATCCAAAGCCGAAGCCGAAGTTGGTGCGAGGGGGCACCTTCTTCTTAACCCTTTAAGAACTAAAGAAAATGTTTCCTAATATAAGAACAACAATTTTCCTTTCTTCTACCAATATGGGAGAAATGACTTTTCATTTGCAATTTGCAATGACAATGACTTTTCATTTTCCCTCCAAAATTGGTTCCCCCACATTTCCATTTTCTCTTCTTATGTCCCATTCACACCTTGCTAAAACCCAACAAAAAATATATGTATCTCAACAAATTATAATAAGGTTGTCGTTTGATAGAGTGTATTAATGTTGTGATATATACGATTAACCATATGTTTTAGATATAATATTTATTATAGAATAATTAATAAATTTCAGTTATAATAAAAAGTTTAATAGATCATATATTAGTTTAAGGTGTTTATTTATTTATATAGTAGATGATTTAGTGTATAGAGTTTTAGCTTATACACAGATGATTAATCATTGGTTCTTATAAATATAAAAAAAAATTGTTCACAATCTAAGATGGAAGTTGGACATGCCATCGGTAGGATTGTAGCACAAGATTATATATAATTTATCATGATTATGGGTATAGTTCCAACTTCTTGTGCTAGTACATTTTGTATGGTATTGAACGGGGCCGAGTAGATATAATTGTTTTTAGACCGACAAAAGCATATTATTTAAACTGTTAAATGTACTTATATTATTAATCCTGTATAACTATTATGATATGTTTATATTAATTATCATTATGATTTATTAAAAGGTGAGATTCTGAGATTAGTCAATATGCCTGTTAGATTGGATGATAATAATATGTATTGGTGAAATAATAAGTTAGTTGATGAAATCCATGTCTCGATATAGAGATTGATGATATGCCTTTTTTGAGAAACTTATAAGGTTTCATCGTGTCAAACCTTGAAAGTGGATTTATGAATCCGACACATGAAATATGTTAAGCAATGCTCTAATGAATTAACCATTGAATTAAATTCGTCAGTAATTTAATTTATTAATTAGTTTTTGTAATCTTAACATGGGGAATTACATAAGGGTTTAATCGGGAATTTTGAAATTTAAATAGAGGAGTGCAATTACAAATTTCTAGTGATTAATTTGTAATTTATTATGGTAAGAATAACTCAACTTAATTATTTGAAATTATTTTCATAATAGAAAGGCTCAGTAATTAATTCAGTAGTCCATATAGTGCCCATATTCACTAGAAGTCAGAATTCTATTTTCTAGATAGAAAAAAGAGGAGAAACTAACGTGAGTTTTGGTTCAAGAAAACAACCGTGTATTTTTCTTCTCTTTTTTGGATTGGGAAGAAATCTTTATAAGTAGGGATTCACCTAATAAAATGGCTCTTAAATGTCAAAAAATGTCGTAAAAATTAATGAGACTTCACATATTGCTCCCCCAACCCCTTATTCAAGGTTTTGTAAAGGTTTTGCAAAAAAATCGACCGCAAGCGATGTCATCAAAATATTCATGGGCTAACACACATGAAAAACTGAGAAAATCGCCTAGTTCATGTAAAAAAGGACTCTTAAATGCCAAAAATACTGTAAAAATGGTGAGGCTTCACGTACTGCTCCATCAACTTCCCGCAGAGTGATCCATAAAAGTTTTGCAAACAATCAACCAAAAGTCATATCACAAAAATATTCATGATCTAACACACACAAAAAAATTAGAAAAAGTCTAGTTCCTATAAGCCCAAAATTGTCGTAAAATGGTGAGACTTCACGTACTACTCCCTACGGAGGGTTTCATAAAGGTTTGCAAAAAAATCATCTAAAAGCCATATCACCAAAATATTCATGTGCATGAAAACAGAAAAAATCGCTCAATTCTTGTAAAATGGATCCTAAATGCCCAAAAATATCGTAAAAATGACGAGGCTTCACGTATTGCTTGCTCAACTCTCTATGGAGGGTTCTGCAAACGTTTTATAAAAAAATTATATGGAAGCCATATCACGAATATATTTTTGGGCTAACATACAGGGAAAATTGAGAAAATCACCTAATTCTTATAAAAATGACTCCTAAGTGCCCAAAAATGCCATAAAAATTGTGAGGCTTCACGTACTTCTCCCCCAACTCCCTATAGAGTGTTCCGTAAAGGTTCTGCAAAAAACTCGACTGAAAGCCATATCAACAAAATATTTATGGGCTAATACTCACAAAAAAACTGAGAAAATCACCGAATTCTTATAAAATGGCTCTTAAATGCCCAAAAATACCATAAATATGGTGAGTCTTCACATACTGCTCCTTCAACTCCCTACAGAGTTTTCCATAAAGATGTTGCAAAATCATATCAACAAAATGTTCATGGATTAACACACATAAAAAATAAAGAAAATCATCTATTTTTTGTAAAATAACTCCTAAACACCCAAAATATGTCTGGTAATAAGGTTCTATAATCATGCAAGCTTTGACGTCATTATTTTTTCTATATAAAAAGATTTATAGTCATATTTGTATATCTCTAAGTTAACTACCAAAAGAAATACATTAAAAGTAAAAGACAAAAATAAATGTGAAATTGATAATAATAATTTGTGTTAGATGAATTAAGCCCATAAGGCTATGACTGACATGAGGCCAGCACCAAGAAGAAGTGAAATATTAGCCCCTAATTGAAGTTCTCCATTGCCTTGCATTCTTGGATGCATAAAATCGGCAGCTAATAAATCAACGAGTGACATATAAATTAGGATGCCAGCTGAAGCCGAATTAAATATTCCTTCCATAATGAGAGCTTTTCGATCGTTTTCATTGTATCCTTTTGTTATTGCTAGTCCTATTGCAATTCCGATTGGAGTTGTGAGCGAAAAAAATAAAGCCATTATAGTCACAGCACGGGATTTGAATTTTGCCTGCAAATTAAAGTGCCAAATAAATGTATGACATAAATTTATAAAATCTTCCTACATTTGGAATATATAACAACTTTATCAGTTGGCACATTAATACATTAATTAATTATTATTACCAATCAATAATAAAATACCAACAGTTTCACAATTATTTGCCAAATAGCGTAGGGCATATATATAACACATCCAATCTGATTATGATTATGGTTAAAAAATCAAATTGATTCACAATCTGAATCTAGTCGATTAAAGAAACTGATATTTTATTTGGCTTGGTTTGGTTATGTTTGGTTTTAAATTTTGAAATCCGATATTATCTAGTTTGATTTTGATTTTACTAAAATCAAATGGCAAAAATAACCGAATCGAACCGAGAAATTAGATATATAAATTTTATAATTATTTATATATTATTCATAAATAAAATAAAAATATTTTGTTAAATTTCCCTTTTAATTAACTTAAGTCTTTAAGTTTATCATTTTCTCAAGCATAACACTTAATGTTGGCCCAACTATTACAACCCTAAGTCCAAGCCCATCAAAATTCATTACAAAGTCTTTATCTATCCTACCTCACTTAAGATAATCATACTTTCTCTTAATTGAATCAATTTGTTTGTGTAATAATAACCCTAGTATTGTTTAATTGAACCCACAGTAGCTTTTATGTGAATTGTTCATGTACTAGATATTTGTGTCTATTGATATGTATTTATTACTTTCAACCGAAAAAAAATCAGAAAAACCAAATCAAACCAACAATAAATAAATCGACAATAACCAAACTTTCTTAAAATAAAATTATTAATTAGTTTGATCTTGTTCTCGAATAAAATGCAATTTATTAAAGAAATCAAGGATAAAGGAGACAATAATAAATTATTATTTTTTATTTGTGATTTTTAAAAGAACGTAAAAAAGTAAAATGTGACAAGAGTATAACGTAAGGTTATACAGGTCACTATTCCAATAAATAACAATTAGAAAAGAAACAAAAAGAAAATGCTTCATAGTCAATCGACTCAATCCCAAATTCTATTTGTACACATGTAACTAACAAAGTTATGTTTCAATGGAATATCTTAACTCAATAAGGTGTATTAATTAGATATTTTTATTTTACATATATATATTCGTCTATTAGATAATAAGTTAAGTATGTAAATATATATGTCATATCATTTCACTGGACGCATCCAACCCAAGTGAAAAATATCTGAAATATTTTATGTCTTATTGAGATGAATGTATATAATTAAAGGAAATTATCTATTTATAACTTAACTACCTAGTAAACATATGAGAACACATGTGAATAAATTTTGAACAAAAAATATCTAACTGAAACATTTTATTAGGAGTTGAGATATTAAATTGAAACAGGTTTGGTATAATTATCTAAATGAAATATCTTGATAAACTTAAGGGGCTAGTTTTGTATTAAAAACAGGCGATATGGTGATGCTTCATCCACTCAATTCATGTGATATAGTCCATTCAATAAAAAGGGCTTGCCCACCTTTAATGTAAAAAAAAAAATAGAGAAAATTAATTACCTGAGCAATGGATCCACCAAGTCCCATGCCTTCGAAAAATTGATGAAAAGTCAAAGCAACAAAAAGAGTCCTTATAGTTTTGAGATTTCCAGAAGCACCCAAAGCTATTCCAATTATGACAGAGTGTACTATTATTCCCACTTCCAAAACCTGCACTCCACACCACACATATTATACCATACCATAAGATATTTAATTTTGTGGTCTTGAACATATCATCAAGTCATAGTAATAACATAAAAATTGGCTTACTTGAGAAATAACACGATAACGAAGGAGCTCGGAGATAGAATCACCCATCATCATCGGTACTGAACTATGTGCATGGACATGCGATTGAGTATGAGTAACTGCTTCTTCATCTCCGGACTGAACCACCACTCCATTTTTCAATTTTTTCTTATTGTAATACGAAGTTGCATAAGTATCCACCATCAGAGTCGCTATTGCTGAAACCATTGCAATAAATCCACTGAAAGGAAAATCTTTCCACGGCCGCACTTTCAAATATGGTGATGCTAATTTATCAAATGCATCAGGGAGTACGTGTATAAACCCCGTTGATAGGATCACACCAGCCGCAAAAGCTTTGATTATAAAGAAGAAATTCCTCTCTGGGCTTAAGGCCGGTATTGCTTTTCCAAATACAGGAATACACACCCCAATTGCACTTGCTACCAAAATGGAAGCGATGGCTCCCACTTTATAGTAAAGTACTGTCTTGGTTTTACTTTTTTCTTCATCATCGTTATCCGGATCACAAGTACACTTGCCTAATACTATGGAGGGAAAAAGTAATAGAATGTACCAAAATATCATCTTTTCAAATTTTCCCATTAGTATAGTTTAATTAGCTCTTCTTTTTTTTCGTCTACTCTTCCCGTACCAAGTGTGAAAAAGGGGACAAAACCAAGTAAGCATTGCACACCTTTGCCAATTTATATACAACACACAGAATCATATTTTGAAAATAATAAAGTATTGCTATTATTTCAATTTAATTATCTAGGTGCTTCGATATATAGAAATCAAATATCTTTTCACTCTCTTTTAGAAATTTTGAAGTTGGAATTGTTGATTATAATTTGTACAAATAATATTTGATTATTTCATTTGAAAGTGAAAAAAGTAAAAATATGGAGTTTTGAGTGTATTCTAAATTCAATGGCCCAAGTTGGTTTTAGTTAAAAATATGTAGTTTCAAATAAACCGACCTTGTACGTTGGTTTATTAATATTTGATTTATTAAATTATTTTTATATTAATAGTTATATTGAATTACAATAATCGACGGACAAGGTCACAACTTTGTTAGGCACAAGTTGCATAATTAAGCCTTACTCTTTTCTTTTTTGCCTTAGGCGTGACATGTGTTTTGAGGACTAAGTACAGTAGTATGAACATTTTAACGTATAAAGCTTTAAAACTAAACTTATGCCTAACTAACTTGTGTTTAAGGGCATAAGTTTAGTAGTATATACTTGTAGTAGCTTAGGCCATGACTTCAATAGTATGAGTTTGTGTCTTGGCACATAATTTCAGTAGTATGAACCTGTGCTTCGGAACATAAGTTTAGAAGTATGTACTTATTCCTTATAGGGAATAATTTGTGCTTAGCGATTTTTTAAAATATTACGAGGTAAATATTAGCTTTGCAAATTAGATAGCACTGATCTTAAACCCCGGGGCAAACATTTTTTAAAAAGATTTGTTTAACGTAAGGAGGTCATAATTACAAATATTTTGGACAACAAATTTTCGTTAAAAGAGAAGTAGGGGAAAAAATTAAAAGCCACCTATTTGAGGGGCAAATATCAAAGACCACCCCAAAATAAGGACAATTTGTGCAAAACATCCCCTCTATTTTAAGATGGTAATTTTTTTTTAGAAAATATGGTAAATTAAATTGTATGTTTATGTAAATTTTTTCAAAAAATAAATAAATACAATCACCTTATTGATGAAACAAACCGGCCTGCTATTCTAGCATGAGTTATTAAATCATAGTTTAGCTGGTTCACAGTATTTAGCTTGTGTCGTGCATAATAACCAACTAGGATACTTCAAATAAATCAAAAAGTGGTACATTGAGGGGAAAATTGCAATGTATTTTAATAGAGAATATTTAAATTCCTATTCATTCTCCCATGAAGACAAACTATGATGTGATCTAGTGATTAATAATATACGTATTGTAAATCAGTGTCATAACTATATATAGTTTGGGGTGGTTAATCGGACACTTTTTATTGAAAAATTATAATATGTATATAGAAAATTGTATAAAATATATAGGTCAAAAATTATTTTTCATACACATATATTAAATTTTGAATATTCTTAACGAAATTTATGACTTCATCACTAATATAAGTATGATGATATATTGATAAGAAAATTGCAACAAATAATGAATATAAACTCATAACTTAAAAATTATAATGGATTCAATACTAAAATTAGTTAAAAGTTTGTACGATTGAATCTATAAAATAAACAATAATTCTAATTTCGTCTTGAATTGTAAATTGTTTACGTGGCCACTAGGAGGCAATAACAGAGAACATGTCACCAATATGAGTTGTGGTGCACTAGAGGGAGTGTTTCATCTTTAATCAGAGGTCTTAGTTTGAGCCATGGGTATAGAGAAAATCATGTTGGAAGCGCCACCTCCGAACGGGCCCTGCAATGCGTAATCCAAATTTAATTGGAGCTCTAATATAGACTCTGAACACTGGGTGGAAAACCAAAAAAATAAACAGAGAACATGTCTATTCTATCTTAGGACACTAGGACCAGAACTGTTTGACGTTCAACTAGGGTCGATATTTTGCACCGCCATAGATTGTATCCACAAGAATGTAATCAAATAAAAATAATACAAGTGTAAAGTGAATGCTTCTTAAATTGACAATTGATGTGAAAATTGAACTGAATTATTTCTCCAACGTAGCAAGATCACCTCGTAAGACGTCTCGCCAAATTAGTATTGGGACCTGTTTGATCATGAATTTTTTTATTTTCTTCCGTTTTTTTTAAATGAAAATTAGTGTTAAGTCATGAAAATTTTAAATATATTTTGGAATTTGAAAAACACTCAAAATCTTATTTTTACTTTTGCTATATCCCTTTTTCCAAATGCTACCCTAATTTTTTATTTTATGAAAACAACCATATTTAGTCATATTTCATGTTTTTTTTAATAGAAAAGTACATTCAAACAAATAATATTATTTGTAAAAATTATAATCAAATATTATTTTATCTACAACTCCAACTCAAAAAATTTCAATAAAAGTAAAAAACAATATTTATAATAATATGTAATACTCCCTCTGTTTCATTTTATTTGAGTTAGTTGAATTTGATATGGAGTTTAAGAAAGAATGACTTTTAAAATTTGTAATCTAAAATAAGTGATTGATATTTGTATAGCTATAAATCATTTTATTAAAAATAAAATAAATATTTTAAAATATATCTTCTTTTTTGGACTAACTAAAAATAAAACTGAATTATATAAATTGAAACAAAGGGAGTGCTCTATAAAATCTACTCTAGGATAACAAATGACTTTTCTTTTTAAAATACAGTATTATTGTTTTGAATATGGTCAAGTTGATTGAGGGAGTAAAAGATAACCTTAATTGAAAGTAGACAAGTTAACTAGGGAACATGTGGCCCAAGAATGATGGAAGTAGACATGTTGGAAAAGTACTCTCTTTGTCCCTAATTATTTATTTATTTTTAAATTTTTTAGTTGTTTTTAATTATTTGTTCATTTTAACAAATTAAGCAAAAAAAAAATTTTTTATCTATTATATCCTCAATTAATTACTTTGAAAAAAGTAGATTTTTTGAAAATATTAAGTTTTTAATTCATCTACTTCATAATTAATTGGGGTAAAATGATAAGTTCTAAACTCACTATGTCAATAATTATTTTCTTAATAGGTGTGTCTATTCAAAAGTGAACAAGTAATTAAGAACGGAGAGTAGTAAAATAGAATTTATGCTCTTTCAAAGATTATAGTGGCGTTCTGATCCAGCCAATAATAAAGCTATCTTTAACAGAAGAAGAAGAAGAATATATACCCCCAACGCCTATTGATAGTTAGTAGGCGTTTGGCCATGCGATACCATATCACATTATGGTATTGTGAGATGGAATCAGCGTTTAGACATGTGATTTTACGCTGATTCCATCTCATGATTCCTTATCATGAGATGTGATTCCATATTCTCTAAAAACTATGATATGGAATTACAATTCCATATCATGATTTGAGATATTTTAATACAAAAATTGATCCACAAATTTATATTTTGTTAAAACAACCTCACATTTATATCTACTAATTTACCATTTATTTCATATGTAAATAAAATTTATAATCACATCATTACTTTTTAAAATTTATTATTCTCACCGACATAAAATTTATTATTCTCACCAACATATAGTCATTTTAACTCACACCAACCGATTATTAAAGTGATGAAATATTTATGGTCTATGAGCATGAAAATATAGTTGCGGATGATATTGACCAACAAATGGCTCAAAGTAACAATGTTGGTTCGTCTTCTCGGTCACATGATCGAGAAATGCAAGTTCAACGTAAGGAAATTGTTCATATTATGTGGGAGGATTATATTAAAGACTAGTATACTACAATTTATGTTCAATTTTTTTTATTAAATTAAGGTTAGATGAAACAATTACTTAAGTGGAGAACAAATAACTTTGTAATAATTTATTATGCGATTTTATAAATTTTGTTTATTTGATAAGATTGAATGGGCTATTTTAATAGTTTTACAACTTATGGAATTTTTATGTTTATGAGAAAATATACAACACAAAAATTTCATATTGCATGTCCAAACAAAACTTCAATTTCATCTCATGATTCCATATCATGATACCATATCGCATGGCCAAACGGGCCTTTAGTCTTTAGTGTGAAAATTACTCAAACATTTTAAAAAATAATATTTGATGATAATTTTTCAAAAATAATATGACAGTTGGTCAATCATATAAGATATTTACTGTCTATAAACTATATTTGTATTATATAACACGAATAGTTAGGGTCGAAATAATTAAGTGTCATGCGGAAGGTAGCAAAACAAACTCTGAAAGACCATGGAAAAAAAGTCAAATGAGAAATATACCATAGTACATAAAGATTTAACGTAGTTCGATCAATTGACCTACGTACACAAAAAGAGATGAACAATTCACTATATAAATATGAGAGTACAAAATATTGAGAGAATTAAACTCAGGACAAACACCCAACAAATCTCCTCCTTGGCTTGAAATTCTGACAAAACAAATTTGCTCAACCCTTTTCACATAATCTTCAATAGCTTGCATCTTCTGTCTATAATCTTTTCTGCAAAATCTATGTCTCGACACAAAAAATCTCTCTAAAAAAATTTCTCCAACAAAAATCTTTACTATTGTTAAATAGGTTGCGATTAGAACTACACCCGCAACAAATTTCTATAAAAAAAACATTTAATTTGTTTATCCATCTCAATCCATGAAGAAGAAGAATATATACCTCCTAAACCTATTGACGCTAGTCTTTGCTAGGGATGGCAATTGGTGGAACGGGAAAGGGTAAAAATTTTGATATGTATTATTACTCTATCCTGTTTAGTACTATTTTTTTAATATAAAAAATTGTCCTACCCCACTCTGTTTTGTCCCCCTTTTTTTTTTCTTTCTATTTTTTGCTCTTTATTTTTTAATATGTAATAGGAGTATTATGTTTGTTCGATTATCCCGCGCAATATTTTGATATAGAATACGAGATTCAAAT